CGCCACATACTTTGGCATTCCATCCCTGGATCTCATTGACTCCATCCGTAGCCGCTCAATAGCTCAGACTGAAAACACCTCTAGCTTCTTTATTTTACCTCTTTTTCCCCCCTAGATGCAGTTTTTTTAAATCAACTTTACTGAGGTACAATATTCAAATAATAAAATGCACTTATTTTAGGTATAAAATTTGATGAGTTCCAACAAATTCATACACCCATGGAATCAGCACCATAATCAAGAAATAGACTATCTCCCTCAACCCAAAAGTGCACTTGTGCCCATTTCCAGTCAGTCTCTCTTCCCAACTCTGGCTCCAGGCAATCCTTGATCTAATTTCTGTCTCTATTATATGTCTAATTATAGATTAGATTTGTCTTTTTTAGAGTTTCACATAAATGGAATCACACAGTATGTACTCTTTTGTGCTGGATTCTGCTCAGCATGTTTTTAAAATTCATCCATGTCGTTGCATGTATCAATAGTTCTTTTTATTATGGAATGATTTCATTGTATGGATATACGTATTCATTCACTGGTTGATGGGCATTTGGGTTGTTCCAGTTTTTGGCTATTATAAGTAAACTTTCCAAGAACAATTTTATACATATGTATAGAGATATGCTTTCATTTCTCTTGGGAAATACCTAAGAGTGAAATTGTGGGGTCATACGGTAAGTTTAATTTAAAAAAGTAACTCTGCAACTGCTTTGCAAAGTCTTATATTCCCACAAACAACGTATTAGCTATCGTTCCAGTTGCTCCATATCTTCATCATCACTTTATATTATCAGTCTTTTTAATTTTTTAAAAGATTTTATTTTTCCTTTTTCTCCCCAAAGCCCCCAGGTACATACTTGTGTATTTTCAGCTGTGGGTTCTTCTTGTTGTGCTATGTGGGATGCCACCTCAGCATGGCTTGATGAGCAGTGCCACATCTGCACCCAGGATCCAAACCAGGGATAGCCCAGGCCTCTGAGGCAGAGCACATGAACTTAACCACTCGGCCACGGGCTGGTCCCTATCAGTCTTTGTAATTCTAGACATCCTAATGAGCATATAGTGATAGCTCATTTTGGTTTCTTTTGCACTTCCATGGGATGATTAATGATGTTGGGCATTCTTTTCATGTGTCCATTGACCATTAATATTTGATTTTTATAGTGTCTATTCATATTTATTGACCATTAAAAAATGGGTTGTTTACTTTTTTTATTAACGAGTTATTGGAGTTCTTTATATATTTTGAATGCAAGTTTTTTGTCATATATTTTCTCCCAGTTTTTGGCTTCCCTTTTAGTTTTCCCTTTTTTTTTTTTTTATTAAAGATTGGCACCTGAGCTAACATCTGTCACCAATCTTTTTATTTTTTTCTTTCTTCTTCTCCCCAAAGCCCCCAGTACATAGTTGTATATCGTAGTTGTGGGTCTTTCTAGTTGTGGCATGTGGGACGCCACCTCAGCATGGCTTGATGAGTGGTGCCATGTCCGCGCCCAGGATCTGAACCGGCAAAACCCTGGGCTGTGGAAGTGCAGCACACGAATTTGACCACCTGGCCCCAGGGCCGGCCCTCACTTTTAGCTTTCTTAATGATGTCATTTGAAGACCAGAAGTTTTAAATTTTGATAAAGTCTAATTTATCAGTTTTTCTCTTATGTTTCATACTTTTGGGATGCTGTTTAAGAAATCTTTGCCTACCCCAAAGCTTCGAAGATTTTTCTCCCGTGTTTTCTTCTAAAAGTTTTATAGTTTTAGTTTTTGACATTTAGGCTTATGATCCATTTTGAACTCATTTTTGTACATGTTGTGAGGTAAGGATCAAGTGTCACTTTTTCCCATATGGATATCTTGAAAATCACATAGCGTATGTCCTCCCAATTTCTTCTTTTTTTTTCAAAATTGTTTTGGCTCTTCCAGGTCCTTTGCGTTTCCATGTAAATTTAGAATTAACTTCTCAATTTCTACAAAAATACCTGCTTGTATTTAATGGAGATTCCATTGATGCTATAGAATAATTTGGGCATATTTAATATCTCCACAATGTTGGATCTTCCAATCCATAATCATGATTTATCTCTCCATTTATTTAGTTCTTCTTTAATTTTTCTCAGCTGTTTTATAGTTTTGAGTACAGGTCTTGTGTATAATTTGTTAAATTTATACCCAAGTATTTTGTGATTTTTGATGCCATCATAAATGGTATATTTTACTTTAATTTCCAATTGTTTATTGTTTGTATATAGAAATAAAATAGATATTTTGTATACTGGTTTTGTATACTGTTATCTCGCTAAACGTACTTCTTAATTCTAGTAGCTATTTTAGATTCCTTAGGATTTTTAATGTATAGGATCATATCATTTATGAAGAATGACTTTTATTCTTTTCTAATATATATGCCTTTTATTTCTTTTGTTGTCTTTTTTGCACTGGCTAGGACCTCCAACACAATGGTGAATAAAAGAGATGAGAGAAGATATGCTGTCTAGTTCCTGATCTTAGAGTAAAAGGCATTCAGTCTTACACCATTAAATAGGATGTTAGCTGTGGATTTTTCATAGATGCCCTTTCTCAGGCTGAGGGTGTTCTTTTCTATCTTATACTTTGCTGAGGGACTTGATTATAAATCTTATTTTCACAGGATTTTTCAGTGAGCATAGAATTCTAGGCTAGGAGGTTTTTACTTTTAGCACTGTAGAAATGTCATCCTGTAATCTGTGGGCTTCCACAGTTTCTATGGAAAAGACAGCTATCACGCCCATCGTTGCTGCATTGAAAGAGAAGTGTCTTACTTTCTCTGGCTACATTTCAGTTTTTCACTTTAACTCTCAGCAGTCTGACTGTGATGCAGTGCGGTTCCTTTGTGTTTTTTGTTTCGTTTGGGATTTGCCGAGCTTCTTAAATCTGTGGGTTGATTTTTGTCACCAGGTTTGGAAATTTCTCAGGCATTGTCTCTGTACAAATGGTTTCTGTCTCATTCTCTCTTTCTTCTTCTGGGACTTGAATTGCGTGCATGTTAGACCTTCGGCCAAGTCCCGCAGTGTTTTGCATTCTTTTAAATTATTTTTTCTTTCTGTAATTCACTTTGGATATTTTCTATTAATCTGTCTTCCAGTTCGCTCATCCCTTCCTATTTATACCCATGCAAAAAGTTCTTAAGTTCACATACTGTATTTTTCAGTTCTGGAATGTTCACCAATTCTTTTTTTTAATAGATTACAATTCTCTCTTTAAATTCTTCATTTCTTATATTTTGTCTACCTTTCCCTTTATTTGAGGAGGAATATATTAATCATAGTTAATTTAAGGTCTTTGGTTGGTAACTATATCTGAATCATCTTTGTCTCTATTTATGCTCTATATTTCTCCTCATTTGGTCTTTTTTTTTTTTTTTTTTTTAACCTTGCCTGATACTTTTTGATTGGGTACTGGGCATTGAAGACGAAAAGTTTTAAAAGCTCTGAATGATTTATCTTCCTCCAAAAAGGGTTGTATTCTTCTGGCAAACAGAGCACCAATGGATCCCCCTTGTGGCTTGCTTGTAGGCTAGGTTACACCTTATCTATTTCAATTTGGCTCTTATATTTAGGCTTGAGCCCTTGATTCTAAAAAAAAAAGCCTGGCGTTTCCATGGTCTCAACTGTAATCCTGGACTGCTTACCACGGCCCATCCGCTTGGACAGGGCTTGAGTTCCAACCTCTTGACTCTCCAACATCATGGGGCTGCTAGAATCTTTCCGCAGCTCTGTAGCTTCCCAGCTGCTGTATTTTTCCGTGTTCTCCAAGTCTCTCCCTGTGCCTGCACACCTTAGGAGGTGGCCAATGACTTGAGGAGAATTTGATGTTCCTTCTCTGCGGTACCCTCTGCCCCGGGATTTTCAAGGCCTGCCATTGGGTGCTTTCTGAAGCCTTATGTGATTGTTTTACATCTTTTGTCCAGTTTTACAGCTGTTTTGGGCAAGAAGCTTAGTCTCAGATAAGGTACCCAGTCATAGCCAAAACTTAAAAGACCTCTTTGAATTTTTGAGGTAATACACTCTATTGATAGGAGAATCACAGTGCAGTCTCTAGGATTTTAGAGTGGACCCATGATTTTTTCTGTAGATAACTATTCTCCATTTAAGAAATAGCTCCTGGCCCTGGTGCAGCTGAATGCCTGATCAGGGAACACTAAATGACTATAAGTCCTAAGCTGTCCCTTATGAATTAGGTATTAACTTGAACAAACAAAATATAAAATTGGATATGTACAGAAACATCCCATTATAGTGAAAATAATAAATGTTACATCAACTCAAGCAGATCCTGGAGGCACAAGTAAGTTGCCTGAGCAGATGGCTCAGACTCCCATGATGTACAGTCTTGCTACATTGATACCTTTCCATCAACTCTAACTTATGGCCTCATGGGAAATTCTCTATAATCAACTCCCTCAAGAAGAAAAAAGTTTCAGCCTAACTTACAAATAGTTCTTCAAAATGTGCTGGGACCACCCAAAAGTGGACTTCTGCTGCATTACAGCCCCATTCAGAAGGGCCCTGAAGGATCAACAAGAAAGTTGATCTTGTCAGTGGGCAGAACCTTTGGTCGTGTGTCTGGTTTTTCACTTGGTAGGCTCATCTCACTTGGAGGAGGAAATGGAAAGAAGTATGGATCTAAACAAGTTTATGAGCAACAGCTAATGGTTTTGCTGGGATCTGAAGGAACTTGGAAAGAAAAGATAAGAGGATTGGTGAAGAGGAGTTCTGGAGAAGAGTTAGGAGATAGACCTCTCAGAACAGGCACAAACTGTGATGATATTTGTATCCCATCTGAATACTTACAAAAGGTATCCATGGGAGAAAGAGCTCTCCAAACTCATCAAGAGTAGGCAAAATCAGGTAGACAAGATGATCTGTCCCATGGATACTAGTCAGACTCATAATGAGAAAGAAGGCAACACCATTGACGTAAAGTGCTGAGCCCTTGAGGGCTGTTAATGATGCCCTTCCCATTATCAGCAAAGCCTAGGGACAAATCCTAACCCTGTCCCCCAGCATATATGCTCTAGGAGGTGCCAGGGAGTTGATTCCTGAGGGATGGTGGTGCGATGCCCCATGGGAGCACCATCTTAAATGAAAGCAGCCCAGGATGCCTTCCTGAAAGGAGGGGCCAGAGGGTTAAATGGGCCTTGGCTCAGTTTCCAACAAGGCCTCACATGGAGACACCAGAGGAGGTACCAGTATGGACCAGCCTTAACAGGTGAATGGGGCTACAGATGGAGTGCCCAGAGATAGGGTGAGAGAGCCGGAGTGGGGAGACAGGGGCAGGGAGGCCTGGGCCTATAAACCTGAGCCAAAGAGCAGGACGATTGATGGGGTGTGCACAAGAGGCAGGAGCCCAGGATCCAGGTTGGCTGTGCACAGATAGGCTGTGGGACTTTGGACCACATATCCTGGCAGGTCTGGACAAGGGGTGTACTCACAGGTAAGATTCAGATGATCTTGGCCAAGGCCACCCCACAGGAAAACAAGACTGATGACAGCAGCAACCATTGGAAACACTTGCACACTTTGAGCTCTTACGTGTTCCAGGCTCTTGTGTAAGTATCATCTAAGCATTCTCTCTGTGAGGACTCAGCCCCAGGAGGTCACAGATAAAGGGAAAAGGCCCAAGGTGACACAGCTGGGGGCAGGGGTGGGACTGGAATCCAGTCTTTTCTGATGCACAAGTCCACACACTTAACCGGTAAAGTCCACATGACATAATGAAGGTGAGGAACCCGGCTGGCAGCAGGTGTCACCAGGTGGGAGAGCCCGCGCCCTCTCCCTTTGGGCATGGACCCTGTGACACTGCTCTGCCAAACACAGAGGGGGCCCTCAAAAAAGGGCTCATTGGCTTGGAAACCCCTCAGTGATCTCTTCCTCCAATCCCCTCACTGCCCAGGTGAGAAACCAAGGCTCAGGGCCCAAAGTCACAGCAAGCGAGTGGCAGATCTGGTCCAGGAGCCAGGACTCTTGGTTCCCAGGTGGGCTCAGTCCTTTACAGCAGGCCAACTCCAAAACCACCTCACCAGCCGTAGCCGTCAACTGACGCTCAGATTCTCACCTGTGGAGGGGGCATATGCTCTCCTGGCCAGGTTGGATGGTGCGAGGAGATGACAGACATAAAGTGCAGCATCAGGTTGGACATCCGGGTGATTGGTTGTTCTGTCTTTCTGTGTCCCCCACCAGCACTGTAACTGCTTGTAGACAATCCCGACAGGGAGAATCCACTGGGGCAAGTTCCTTGCCCTGGGAAACAGCACCCTTTAGGCCCTAAGCACACGGCTGCATCCCTCACATGTAGGGTGTAACTCAAAGTAAAACCAGAACGCTAACCTGTAAAATAACTGTGAGAAAGTCCAGCCACATTTGGACATTTCCTTTGAGGGGCTAGTTGAATGGTGCTTTGAAATAGCAAAGGTTGAATTCTTTCAGGAAGTATTCGTGGTGCCTCTGCTTTGCTGGTGACCCAGCACGCGCCTGGTGTGTGTGTGGGATAGTCCAGCAGCTCCCGGCAGTGAAAAGCCATGTGCCACCTCTCACGGAGCTCTCAGCGTCCCTACCTCCATCTGCAGAGAGTTGGGATAGAGCAGGGAGGAGGGGCACCTGGACTTTCGGCCTCTTAGGGCCCCTCTTGCTTTGGTCTTCTGCGTCTCTGCCCCTCAAACTCCCCTACTCCACCTCACCCACGACCGTCAGCCTTGACCGCCTCTCTGGGGGCAGAAGGGTCCAGGGTAGTGTAGTTTGCGTCACAGTCTTTGGGTGTGAGAAAAAAAACGTGACCAAATTTATCAGGATGGGGTTCCATTAACTAATGGATAACCTTCTCAATTTGGGACAAAGGGGGTTCACTCTCTTGCTAGGTCCTGGGGTCTGACTTCTGGAACATTATTCAAAGGAGGGTTTGCAATGCTGGGTGCCAGTTCTTGATTTGGTACCTGCCATATGGAGACTCAGATCAAAATCTGAAATATAGATTCACCTGATGTTATCAATGAAAAAACAGAAAGAGAAATAGAAAACATTTGCTCTAATATTTGAAACTTGAACTTCTGGATTCTCCAGGAAATACGGCATAAAAGAAAGAGTCCCATCTGGGAATTAAAGACCTGGCTTCTAGTGGTGGCTCTGCAGCCAGGCACCTGTGGCACCTGGAGAGTGCCTGCCCTTTCTGCGCCCAGTCTCTCTGGCCTTCAGCGGGGAAACTGGTTGGACTTGAAAATAAAAAAAGGTTTTTTTCCAGTTTTCACATTGGTCGTTTTATGCACGTAAGGTGTTTTGAGGAGGGAGAGAAATTAGAGGTAATTCTAGGAAAATCACAGGGACACTGCTCATGGAATCATCAGGATCAACGAGGCCAATATTGATACCAATATCAACATAGACTTGCCTGGAGTCACTTAGTCCAAGGGACAAGCCCAAAGTGGAGGAGAATCTGTACTCCCCTCAGCTCAAACATCCCCAGTCTGTGGGTTGAAAGCACTCGCTCTGGTTCCTATGGGAGTTTTTTTGCCTTTCAGCAGCTATTGCAAGCAGATCTCCAGTTCCCGTCCATCAGCAATGCCTCCCAGGCCTCCCCAGGTCGCTTCTGAACAGGGACTAGGGAGGCCTGCTGGGTAGGGGCCATGCAGTGGTTACATAGGAGCACCTGCTGAGCTGCAGCAGCCAGTAGGGAGGCAAGTTCAAGGCAATAACACAGATACTGTCTTGGATTCTCTATTGCTGCCAATTGTGGGAGAATTCATTATCAGTTCAGACTCCAATCAGGAATGACTCTTCCCACCAAGAGCATTTTCAGTGTTACTCCCTTCACTGTAACATGACAAAGAGCCCCACATCTGGAGACAAGATGCAGAGTACTCAGATCAGATGGGGACAGGCAGAACCACTGCATCAAGCAAACAAGAGAGAAATGAGCCATTCGCTGGTTGGCAATTATGGTGGGAAGACGGCATGTTGCTGTAAACCTTAGAGAAATCAGCCATCCGTAGCAACGTGGTGACAAAGATGTCAATCTTAAAAACTTAAAGCAAATGCCAAAAGAGAAAGAAGCTTGGGGGCCTGGTTTCAGAGATATGGTATCCCCAAAGGACCATGGGGGACCTGGAAATGATGACCAACAGAAGTTCTTCAGTAACACTTAACACAATTGCAATTAAATAATTACGTGATTCATTGCTAATGTCTTTCTCTACCACTAGAATTTCAGCTCCGTGAGGTTGGAGAGCTTCTCTGTCTTGTTCACCTTGCCTTCTACACACCCAGCATATAACACATGGTTTTGTATATTGTAGGTACTTTTTCCATACTTAATTTTAAAAGGAAAGAGGAAATTCTGGGATAGGATGAAGACAAAGCCCATCGTCTGTCTTCTAGAGTTGGTCATAAATAAATGTGGTTTCATTAATTATACAGTGATCGTTATGTGATTCTGATTCCAGAAACACTGATTGTCCTGGTTTCCAGATGTGCCTGGTTCCCAGAGATTTCTACTACTCACTTCCTGGGCATCCAGCTTAACCCACCATGGAGACTATAGCCTGTAATGGATCAGAGGACTCCTCCACCATCTTCTACCTTATGGGCATCCCCTCCCTACCAAAATCCCTCTTCCTCCCTATCTTCTTTGTCTTTCTCCTCCTTTACCTGCTCATCCTGGTAGGGAATGCCTTGATCCTCATGGCTGTGGTGGCAGAGCCCAGCCTCCACAAGCCCATGTACTTCTTCCTGATCAACCTCTCTGCCTTGGACATCATTTTCACCACAACCACTGTCCCCAAGATGCTGTCCCTACACTTGCTTGGGGACCGCCTCCTCAGCTTCCCTGCCTGCTTCCTGCAGATGTACCTCTTCCACAGCTTCTCCTGCTCTGAAGCCTTCATCCTGGTGGTCATGGCCTATGACTGCTATGTAGCTATCTGCCGCCCACTGCACTACCCTGTCCTCATGGCCCCACAGACCAACGCTGCCCTGGCAGCCGGTGCCTGGCTCACTGCCCTCCTCCTGCCCATCCCGGCAGTGGTGCAGACCTCCCACATGGCTTTTAGTCCTGTGGCCCAGGTCTACCACTGCTTCTGTGACCACTTAGCTGTGGTCCAGGCCTCCTGCTCTGACACCACGCCCCAGACCTTCATGGGATTCTGCATCGCCATGGTGGTGTCCTTCCTGCCCCTTCTCCTGGTGCTTCTCTCCTATGCCCACATCCTGGCCTCGGTGCTTCGCATCAGCTCCCGAGAAGGACGCTCAAAAGCCTTCTCCACCTGCAGCTCCCACCTCCTGGTGGTTGGCACCTACTACTCATCCATTGCCATAGCCTATGTGGCCTATAGAGCTGACCTGCCCCTCGACTTCCATATCATGGGCAATGTGGTGTATGCTATTCTCACACCTGTCCTCAACCCTCTCATCTACACTCTGAGGAACAAGGATGTCAAAGTAGCCATCGCCAAAATAGCATGTCCCCGGTACCCAAAGAATTCTGGGAAAGCCTGATTCATAGGTGGAATGATCTATTAACAAACACCAACAACAAAAGAGAGAAAAGTGGATAATTCAGGCAGCCGGATAGTTAGAAGAATAATTCTCAAATACAGTCCGAGGTATTCCTCCATTGTAATAAAATCATGATTTTCTTTCCATAACTCATTGACAAAATAGATAGTAGTTTTCTATTCACTTTTAAGCTGTGAATCCCAAATTTCACAAGACTGTGAATGCAGTTGTGGTCATATTTCCATTAACTCGAACAATTTTGATTCTTAGAAACTCCAAGTATTTGAGTAGCAAGAAATTCAGTCTTTTTCCTTGTATTTCTTCTTTCAACATCTCTAAATGTCCCCGAGAATGCTGACACATAGATATGAATCAGCCTCGCCCATTTTGCTGGAAGAGCAGCTTAGAAATCCCCTTCAAGGAAAAAGTCTGAAATCACTACCAAATTCACTGCCACTACCAATATTTCAACATCTGGTCACACAGGAAATTGACCCTCATGGCATCATAAGTGTAGAGCATGCCCTTCCTCTAGCCTATGCTTAGGCAAGGGGTGTCCCTTATCAAACCCATGTGGGCACCAAAGCATTACAGTTCTTTTCATTCTCAGCTACACCATAGTGTTCCCATTCATGACAATGGGTAGCTAAGTAGAGAAGTTTTCCCTTATTGGTAAGATGCTGTGTCCAGGATCCCCACTTTTTCTCAAAATACAGTGTAGGGAACTCCTCTTTCTGGCCTCAGCGGCCAGCCCAGGCTCCTTATTTCCTTCCCCTATGCCAAATTTCCTCTTGAATACCTGTCAGGTTTGTCCAGTCAGGGACATATAGAACACAGAGTGAAAAGTGTCTGAGGGGAACCCAGGTGATAGATATCCTCATCTCTTGGCTCATCACAGATATTCCCAATATCTAGGGTCCAAGTTTTTGCCAATCAAGGTATTGACTTTAACCATTTTCCCGTTGCATTGATGATGCAATTCAACAACGGATGTGATTTGTTCCTGGACTCAGCTTTCAGCAGTCCAGGAGATCCTGGTGGAGTCAGAAAAGGCTTCCAGAATCAGAATGACAAAAAGGCTCCAGATTTCCTTGTATACTGATGCTGGGCGACTGGAACGGGGACTCATGTTCCTCTATCTGCATTTTATTCAATCTGCAGTGCGGCTTTTCCTCAATCCTTGAAGTTGACATCTAGACCTCAGTGGGACCACAATCCTCAAGGTCTAGAGGAGACAGCTTGTTAAGTCGCTTTCCCTCTGAGTTCCAAGAGCTATTAGAATTTAACCTGAGGACGTGGAGATAAATATTTTTTTGCTCTCTACTCCACTACCACCCAATAAACAACTCCAAAAGTATCCCCACATTACAACTGAAGTTCTGGTTTGTGCAACTTCTCTTCTGGTACCAATTTCAGTTTCAGTTCAGGGCTTTGGTTTCCTGTGTTCCTCGATGAGCCTCACGACATTGTTTCATCTTCAGCTCCCCTTCCAGACGGATCAATGAATTAATCACATGGAAAGTGGATTGTAGTGACATGGAATTCTAGGCTAGTTCCACCCCAACTCATTATTTCCTGTGGCTCCTCCTAAACATTTTTCGTGAGTAGACCTGAAATAATAATAACAACGACAATAATAATAATAATAATATTTTTCACCTGTAGCCTCACCTGTTAATTAACACGGTCTCTCTGTATTTCCCAACTTAAAAACATAGTTTCAACTTTTGTGCCTCAAAGAACACTAGCAAGAGAGTGAAAAGACAAACCACAGAATGGGAGAAAATATTTGCAAAGCATGTATCTGATAAGGGATTAACATCCAGAATATATAAAGAACTCCTACAATTCAACAACAGAAAAAAAACCAACCTAATTAAAAAACGGGCAGTGGAATTGAATAGACATTTCTCCAAAGAAGATATACAAATGGAAAATAAGCACATGAAAAGATGCTCAACATCACTAACATCAGAGAAATACAACTCAAAACCACAATGAGATACCATTTGACACCCATTAGAATGGCTATTATCAAAAAATGGAAATAACAAGCATTGGTGAGGATGTGGAGAAATTGAAAGCCTTGTAAAAAAAAATGGTGATACCACTGTGGAAAACAATACAGTGGTTTCTTGAAAAATTAACGTGGAATACCAAATGATCCATTAATTCCATTTCTAGGTATATACCTAAAAGAATTGAAAGCAAGGTCCTAAGAGACATTTCACACTTATATTCATAGTAGCATTATTCACAATAGCCACAAGGTAGAAACAACACAAATGTCCATCGACAGATGAATGGATAAACAAAATGTGGTGTATACATACAACGGAATATGATTCAGCCTTAAAAAGGAAAGAAATTCTGGTACATGCTACAACATAGATGAACCTTGAAGACATTATGCTAAGTGAAATAAGCCAGTCACAAAAGGACAATTATTATGTGATTCCACTTATATGAGGTACCTGGAATATTTAAATTATGGAGACAGAGAGTAAAACAATGGTTACCAGGACTGGCGGGGAGGGGGAAAGAGACATTGTTTTATGCATAGAGAGCTGCTGTTTGGGATGATGAAAAAGTTCTGGAAATGGACAGTGGTGATGGTTGCACAACATTGTGAATATACTTAATGACACTGTATTAAATACTCAAAATGGCTAAAATGGTGAATTTTATATTATACATACTTTACCAGAATAAAAAAAATATTTCTAAAAATAGTTTCAAACCAGGCCATAGATCATAGGTCACTGAGTAGCCTGGGGGCTTGCTGCCCTTCGGTCAGATGCTCAGCTATGGAGCAATAAGCTATGGCCAGAGGGAGATGTATGGAGTGCAATCCTATGGTTTAATATGGACATTCGAGAATTAGTGGAGCAGTTTGCCTTGAAAAGAGGGATGGGAGAGCAGGCCTTTGAAGCCTGGTACACTTAGGGGAGTCGTTCCCTTATCTGTGTCAGGTGGTCTTGTGAAGAGTTGAGTGAGACCAGGTAATTTCACCTCTCAGATATCTCTGGACTGCATCGCCCCTCACCATCCCCACTTCATCGAGCCTGGGGCGGGCGTTACCACCTTCCCTCTCCTGAACGAGCACAACAGTCTCTCCTGCCCGCTGCCTGTGTGCCCACTGCCTGTTAGCCCACCCTGCATTCCACAAGTGGCCAGAATGGGCTTTCTGACGTACACATCTGGTCACCTTACCACCCGCAACATAACCTCAAGGCTCTCTCTGATCCAGCCGTAAATGATCTCTCTGTCTTCACTCCTCACCATTGCCTCTTACGGCAATTCCGAACTTCTTTCAGTTCTCCTTTTCGCCGGTAACTCACTCTTCTCACTTCCTGAAGCCGTCTTCCTCCCTGTCTACTTCAGCTAAAATCTTCCTCAGGCTTCTCCTGAAACATCACTTTCTCGAGGGAGCCTGCCCTGGCACCTCACCTTGGAATGCGAGGCAGATGCCTTTTGTATGTGCCCTCTTAGCACTTTATAATTCCCCCATCATGGCGCTTCTTTACTTTTTATTTTTGGATCTCAGGAGAAGAAGGCTCCGAGCACATTATACCCATGTCTGTGCAAGCTCCTTGCTTGTTTTATTTATCTTCCCCTTTACATCTAATCCTTCAATTCCCATCTCGTTCCCCTTTCCCACTTAAGCATCCACTCTGATGTGTTGGATGTATGCCCCTAAAGATAAGCATATCTTTGTAAAAGGTGTACTGTTGTTTTGTGCATGTGCTTATACTTTCAATTTACATAAAAAGAATTGTGTTACATGTTGCAGTCTATTTCTTACATTTTTCACTCAATTCTATTTTTTCGATCTATATTGCTATTTATACGTCTGGTTTCATTGGTCCCAACTGACGCATAATCTATAGTATGATTTCTTCGCATTTCACTTTTCTCCTTTCCTAGTAGAGGACACCTAAATTGCCTCCAACTCTTTGCTAGCACAACGTCTTGTGAATGTCATTGTGTGTGTCCTTTTAGGGACCCACGGAGGATCTTCCCTGGAATATGTAACAACAAGTCAAATGGATTAGTCATAGGATATGCATAAAGTTTAGCTAAACATAGTTCCTCTTCATTATTTGCAGATTCTGCATTTGCAAATTCTCTGACTCGCTAACCCCAAAACCAATACTCAGGGTACTATGAGGATCACTCACAGCCATGCCCAGAGCAGCTAAATATCTGAGTCACCCACGCACATGCTCCAAGTTGAGGTCTAACAAGGTGACACTCTACCTTCTTTTTTCAGTTCATACTGTAAACAAGTTCCTTTCCACAGTCTATTTAGTGTCATGTTTTTCCCATTTTTATGCTTTTTTGGTAATATTGCTGTTTAAAATAGCACCCACCTAAAGCACTGAAGTGCTGTCTAGGGCTCCAAAGCACGAAAAAGTCCGTGATGTGCCTTATGGAGAAAATACATGTGTTAGATAAGCTTCATTCCTGAGTTATAGTGTTGTTGTCCATGAGTTCAATGTTAACGAATCAACAATATATATTAAATAAGATATCTTTAAACAGAAACATGTAAAACAAGATTTTGTTTTGATCAGTTGACAAATGTTGTGAACAGAGGCTCGAAGGAACCTAACCCTTATCTCCCCTAGGAGCATGAGTCAGCATTCGCTAATTCAGTGTTCACAGTGACTTTACAGACCATAACTAGCACAAATAATAAGAATTGACTGTACTCTGATATTGTTTCCTAGAATGGTTGCACCGTTTACACTCCCAGCAGGAATGGACTATATAGTTTCCCTCTCCCCACTCCCTCAGCAACATTTGGTATGATCCAGCTTTCTAATTTTTTGCCATCTTTCTCAGGTTAAAGTGGCACCTCATTCTGTTTCATCTGCGTCTCTCTGATTACTAATGAATCATCTCTGTACATACTTGTTAGCACCTAGCATTTCCCCTTATGTGAATTGCTTATTGAGAATCTTTGCCCATTTTCTTTGAATTTCTTGTATTATTTTATTGCTTTTAGGACTTCTATATGTTTGTCCCTTGGCAACTTGAAATATTACAAATATGTTTTCAAATTTGTGATCTTTCCTTCACTGAGCAGAAATTCTTAATTTTGACAGACTCAAATCCATCACACTGTCCACCATCTGGTATGTGGATTCTCAGCCTCTCCTTTCCACTATTTCACCAGATACTCCTAGTTTTATCTTTCACATTTAAATCTCAAATCCATGGGGAGGTCCTCTCTAACATGTAAGGTAGGGATTCTGTTTTATTTTTCTTCATATTGGAAGCCATTTTTCTCAAATCTACCTAAAAAATATCTTTCCTTCCTCATTGTTTTATAGTGCCATTTTTATTGATTTCAAATTTCCATATACCTTGTCTACTTCTGAATTATCTATTGTGTTCTATTATCTATTTGCCTATTGCTGTGCCAGTCCCATCATATTTTATTATTATAGCTGTGCAGTATGTCTTTTTACCTATCTTATTCAGGCAGCCCTGTCTCGCCGTTCATATTTTTCGCAGTTGACTTACTTGTTTGTTTGTCTTTACCTTTCCATTTAAATTTTGGAATATGTTTGTAAGCTCCCTCAAAAATCTAGCAATAAATTTTTTGAGATTGCATTATGCTACCCTTCTCACTTATTTTCCACTTATTTGCTCCCCATGTATTCAAATCTTCTTTTATGTCTTTCATTCAAATTTTTAATTTTTTCAACAAATGTGGTAGTCATTTTTGATAGTATAAACTTCACCATATCTGTTACTATTGTAAAAAGCATTTTAAGTTTTTTTCTAGTTGTTATACTAGAAAAAGAACACCAATTTCTAGCCAGTATAGAGGTTCCCAATCACAGCCCTTATCACACTGAATTATAATTACCTTGTAATTACTTGCATGTATTATTAGACATCAGCCATGTGAGGATAGGCACTGGGTCTGCCTTTTTCACCTCTGTATGCCCCTCACCTCTCATAGGGCCTGGCACAGAGTAGTGAATTTAAATATTTCAGCGTTGGTACGTGGTGTCATTCAGCATTAGTTCCCTCCCACTCTCTTAATCCTCTCATCAGATCCCTCTTGTATAGATGGATTTACTCATGCCCAGAGAGAGAAAGGATGTATTCCCCAAAGACTCAGACTAAATTAAAGACTGGAGCCACAGCCCAGGTCTCCTGGCTGAGATCCATTTCATTTCCATTAAGCTGTCTCAGCCCATTAATTACCTGTCCTCCTTACGCCGAGGGAAACTTACTCAATGAGTAAAAGCAGAGTCACAGGTCAATCTTCCTCAAGAGGGTCAAGGACCTGGAGAGTGATGCCTGGTGACACAGAATCCCAAGCTGCCCCTCCCCTTGTTTGCCAAAGCTCTTCACAAGTGGTTCTTGAACTTCAGCGTGCCGTGAAATCACACCGAGGGCTTGTTAAAACACAGCTTGCTGGGCCCTATGCTCAGATTGTTTTATTCAGTTGGTCTCTTAAGGGGCCCAAGAACTTGCATTTCTAACACAAGTAGGCACATAGTAAGCACTCAGTAAGCATTGTCATTATGAGCTATCAAGTCAGCTCTGCCTCCTGGCGACCCTATGAATGCGTGATGTCCACAATGTCCTGTCATCCACCGCCCTACTGAGCTGCTGTAGACTCTTGCCTGTGGCTGCCTTTATGGAATCAACTCATCTCATATTTGGTGTTCCTCTGCTCCTCCTACCTTCTAATTTTCCCAGAATTATTGTCTTTTCCAAAGGATCTTGCCTTCTCATGATGTGCTCAAAGTCAGATGGCCTCAGTTT